TATGCTTTCGCAAAGGCTGATAGGATACCCTGTAGGTCCTCTTCCGAGAGGGCTACAAGGGCGTTGTTGTCCGCATACTGCAGCTCAATGATCGATATGGTGGCGGTTTGACCTTTAGCCCTGAAACGGTTGATGTTGAGGAGTTGGCCGTCAGTTCTGTACATGATGTTGACTCCCTGGGGCAGATGCTTGCTTGTGAAATGCTGTGAAAGGCTGAGTGTTAGCATTGTGGTTTTTTTTTGGATTTAAAAAAAAAAAATATCAGTTAGCTGAGTTTCTTCCCGTTGGATGGACATGGATATAAAACATTCATAGTTTATTAAATATTAAGATTCCTTAGACATTGTTTCCTGCAAATGACGCGTTTATCCGCCCGGCCGTGCGTATCAGGTTAACAAGCTGGGAATAAAGGACTTGTTTTGGGAGGCGAGAGTCAGGCATGCGGATAACATGGCCAGTCCATCTGAGCTGGTTTTGGGCAATGGTGGCAGTGATGGTGGGAATGTCAGCCTCCTCCTTTGCCAGTACCAGCCAGAGGGCCTGACGGTTCACTGAGTCGAAGGCTTTGGTGAGGTCTATAAATGCCATGTATAATGGTTGATTTTGTTCCCGGCATTTTTCTTGCAGTTGGCGAGTAGTGAAAATCATGTCTGTAGTGCCTCTGTTTGGGCGAAATCCACTCTGAGACTCAGGAAGGATGCTTTCTGACAGGGGGGTGAGTCTGTTGGCCAACACCCGAGCTAGGGCTTTCCCTATGGTGGACAAGAGAGAAATGCCACGGTAATTTCTCCCTTCTTAAATATGGAGACAATTAAGGCATCCCTAAGCTGAGCAGGGATTTCCTCTTCTTCCCAGATTTTGAGAAGCAGGGCATGGATGTGCTTAAGAAGATCGGGTCCGCCTTTCTTCAGGACTTCTGCTGGGATGCCGTCGGGCCCAGCAGCCTTGTTGTTTTTCATATTCTTAATGGCATCCAGCACCTCACCCAGGCTGGGTGGTTCTCCCATGCTTTCAACTATGGGCTGTTGAGGGAGTTGGTCAAGAGCCTCCATCTCAGGAATGGTGTCCCTGTTTAAGAGGTCCTTATAGTGCTCTTTCCACCTGTTTGCTATTGCATCCTTGTCCTTCAGAAGCAGGAGCCCATCTTTAGAGCGAAGGGGGGTTAGGCGGCGATAGCTGGGACCATATACCGCTCTTGTGGCATCAAAGAATCCTCTTGTATCACCAGAGTCGGCAAGCTGCTGGATCTCCAGAGCCTTCTTTGTCCACCACTGGTTCTTCAGTTTCCTAACTTGCGTTTGGACGGCTGCCTTCGCTTTGGCATGGGCTGCTCTTTTCACCTTGCAGTGGATGTTATTTTGCCAGGTGATGAAAGTTTGCCGCTTGATGTCAATGAGTTGCTGAATCTCGGTGTCATTCTCATCATACCAGTCTTGATGCCTCCGCTTTTTTTGACCAAGAATGTTTTTGCAGGAGTTCATGATGGCAGGAGAAAGTGTGCCCCAGTGTTTTTCAGTATCCTCCGGATACTGTTTGGGCAAGGCTGCGCTAAGAGCATCCTGCAGCTGTTGTTGGTAGGTGGTGTCACACAACAGGTCGATGTTAAGCTTTGGCCGGCTCTGTCTTTTCTGCATCCTTCTTTTCCGCATTAAGCGGATAGACATGATGGAGCGAATGAGGCGGTGGTCAGTCCAGCAGTCATCTGCACTGGTCATTGCTCTGGTGTTAAGGACATCACGGCGGTCTTTGGAGCGGACAATGACGTAATCAATGAGATGCCATAGTTTGGAGCGAGGATGCATCCATGATGTTTTGAACTTGGTTTTTTGACGGAAAAGTGTGTTGGTGATGACCAGGTTGTGCTCTGAGCACTTGGCTAGCAGTAGTATGCCATTGGAGTTTGTATTTCCAACCCCTTCTCTCCCCAGCGTGCCTCTCCATAGGTGGTGGTTTCGTCCCACTCTGGCATTGAAATCTCCAAGCAGGATTAACTTATCCTCCTTGGGGACTTCAGATAGAATTTTGTCCAGGTCAGCATAGAAGGCCTCCTACATACGTCATCCTGTGCATCAAGCGTTGGGGCATAGGCACTAATAACGGTGGCCATCTGACTGCTGGCAAGCATCAGACGTATGGTCATTAGGCGCTCGTTGATGCCCACAGGGAGTTCATGGAGGTGGTTGATGAGGCAGTTCTTAATAGCAAAACCCACACCATGGATTCGTGGCTCATTTGCAGGCTTTCCTTTCCAAAAGAAAGTATATCCGCCTTTTTCCTCCTTCAGCTGCCCTTCATCAGCCAGTCGGGTCTCGGAGAGCGCTGCAATGTCGATCTGGAACTTCCCTAGCTCTCTGGAGATGATGGCAGTTCGCCTTTCAGGTCGATCGCTGGCTTGGTTATCCGTGAGGGTCCGCACATTCCAGGCTCCAATACGTAAATGTTTTTCTTTTATTTTTTGTTTCTGACTGCGTAATGGTGATCCCTCTGGATGCGGTATTCCAGACAGGATTTTGTGAGGCAGGCTATGTTTGGGGTACCTTTTCTAACCCCCTCCCCTACTGGGGTGAGCAGAGTGGACCCTGAATAGGGGCTGCTCAGTCATGGGTGCTGCTGCCGAGAAGCTCTTTCTGCCTCAGTCCAAGAGCTTAGCGACTGAATCAAACACCCATCGCCTGTGTGCCAGGTTGTGACTAGGAACTACCAGACTTCACTGTCCTGCCCCCGTTACCACTTTCTGAACGCCACAGGACTTTTCTTTGTCCAGGATGTAAAATGGGTAGGTTCCCTTCGGGAGGACGCCTGCGCGTGACGTCTTTTAACGTGGGGAGACTGATGCGCCTGCAGCCACCACACGGTCCTTGGCAGAGAGGGGCCTGAATCCAATGGCATGGAATCCAATGGCATGGAATCCATGACGAATGGAGACCACCCTCTGTTGCAGCCTTCATCCGCCTTCAGTGCCATTGTGACTTAGAGTATCATCCTTCGCCACTTCCACCGTTGAGGTCTTTGGATCGCACTTGGATCGGCAAGGTGGCGATCCATGGAGAACCCACACACACACACACACACACACACACACACACACACACACACACACACACACACACACACACACACACACACACACGCAAACACACACACACAGACACACACACACCCTCTTTATATTAAAATGATACACATCTGATCTACAGTGTGTATGTTCGCCCTCTATGACTAAAGGTTGGTACGTATTTGTTCTCTTTCCTCCTTTATGTAGAAACAGATAGTTTAATGTGTTTTTGGCATTTATATGTTATCATGTTGTCTGTTGCATTAATATCAAATTGTATGATTGTGCTATAATATTATAATTCTTTAAAAACGTTCACGTTGTTACCTTTTTTCTGTTTTAATGCAAATGAGAATATTAGTCATTTCCACAGATCTGAAACTACAGGTGTGATTAATAACTGCTTTTCAGTAACATACAGGGACATTCAATGCAACACAACCAGAGTTAATCTTATATTACATTTATATTTAAAATAATATAAATGATCAGTATCTGTGCATTATTGATATATACCGAGTGACGTTTATTGCAGTTGTATTGTCTTCTGTTTTTGACATATTGCATTATTTTTATTTTTACCTACAGTTTTATCTTTTTGAATCTAAAATATATATAGTCTACTAATCCCTGCAGATTACATGGGCTCTTTAGTATCTTGCACTTTTGGATTTCAAAAGTCTAAAGTATACTGTATGTTGCATTGTTTGTGGATCCTGAGGCTTCTTTTCTACAAAACAACTGAGCTGTAGCTGTTGTGCAAAAGCCTTTAGATCTTAAATTAAGGAGTTAAACCATTTTAGATCACTTCTAAAAAAGTTGCTATGATGCAAAGACATTTCCATTAAAAAGGCCCAAAAGAAGTTATTAACATTTAACATGTTAACCAACTTCAGTCTTGATTATAACTAATACATATGTATTGCTTTTCCGAATTATTCACCCATGTTTGTCCACATTATTTTGTCTATATGATGCATAATTGAAGGAAACTGAGACATGAGATTTTCTTCTGCACAGCATTTCATTTTTAAATGTGAACCTTGAATGAGAGCAAATCTAATAGTTGAAGAAAAAGCACTATGATGGAAAAAATGCCTCAAAATGTTTTATGTTAAGCTTATTTTATTATTATTTGAGTTAAATATTTTAACCAACATCAGTCCTGAAAATAATTAGCAAATATTTATACAAATTTAAGAATTTTAAAATGTTATGAAACATTTGACCTGCACTATTTTATTTATGATTATACTGCATGATTTGGAACGTGACCTTTTCTTCCGCACAACAGCATGGAATGAGAGCAAATCTAATTGTTGGAAAAAATATGCCTATTTTCTTTACATTAAGTTTATTTTCCCCTTTAACTGAGTTAAATTATGTAATCAACGTCAGTCCGGATAATAACTACAAAATGTTACTTAATTTTCTGAATTTGAGCCCTTATTCAACACTAATTTAGTTGCACTTTGTTTTACACCATTTTTATTATTTAATGTCTTCATTATACCGTATGTTGCGTTGTTGGAGGTGTCACATTTAAATCTTTAATGAGAGCAAATCTAATAGATGTTTTTTATAATTGAACACTGTAAAGCTTTGTAATTATATATTAATTTCTGGTAAAAGTGCTTTGAACTGCTGATAAATAACAAGCATTACTTATATTATATGTTTTTTGATAGCCATACTTTGAAGATCACTATATTGTCTGTTAAACCTTTGATAACAATTGAGAAAATAATGCAGATCCAACATTTCATAAACTCCTTTTTGGCCAAATCTTTGCTGTTTTTGTAGTTGTTTTGTAGTTCTTAGTTAAGTGCCTATTTTGTTGTTTTATTTCCATTTGTAGAACTTTTTGTCCATTATGTTTGCATCATCTTGATGTTGTTTTGTATCTCTTCTTGTTGTTTTCTCAGCTTGTCTCCGCATGAGTAATTTCACCACCGTCGTGTACCGGGACAGTTTGAACGTGGCGATAATCAAGAATGTTGTCACCGTGGTTCTCTGCATCTTCATCAACTTCATCAATGGCACGCTGGTGCACACCTTCAGGAAACACCAGGTACATACATTTAACACTTGTGAATGGATGTTTAAAATGCGTTGTTTGGAGCTTTTTTAATTAGAAAAATAGCAATGTTTCTATGTCTTTATAAGGAGCTTTATTATAACAATATAGCAACTTCAGCAGAGGTGGGAGAAGTACTCAGATCTTGTTTTTGAGTAAAACTAGAAGTACTCAGATCTTGTTTTGAGTAAAACTAGAAGTACTCAGATCTTGTTTTTGAGTAAAAGTAGAAGTACTCAGATCTTGTACTTGAGTAAAAGTAGAAGTACCAGAGTGTATGAATACTCTGTCACAGTAAAAGTCCTGCCTTCAAAATGTTACTCAAGTAAAAGTAGAAAAGTATTATCATCAAAATATAGTTAAAGTAGCGACAGTAAAAGTAGTCATTGTGCAGATTGGTCCATTTCAGAATAATATATATGATATGTTTTATAATGATTGATCATTAAAGTGTTATCAATGCTGGTAAAGGTGCAGCTAGTTTGAATGACTTTGTATACTGCAGGGTAGCTTGTGAATTTACTCCAGGTGGAACTAAAGTCTGATTTAACACTTGATTATATAGTATGATATCTATATTTGTCTCTTTTCCTCTAGGTTTTCAACATGAACCCTCGCTACATCCTGTACATCCACCTGGTTCTGAACGACATGATCCTGCTCACCACCTTCACTCTGGTCTATGTCCTGAGTTACATAGTCTACACGCTCAACGTCTCCTTCTGCATGTTCCTGCTCAGCATCGCCATATTATCCGACGTCAACAACCCGTTCACGCTGGCTGTGATGGCGGTGGAGTGTTACATCGCCGTGTGCTTCCCTCTCAGACACTCCCTCATCTGCACGGTGCGGAAAACATACGCCGTTATCGGCCTCATGTGGCTGATCGGACTCCTCACCGTACTTCCGGATATTTTCAACGCTTTGGCCACCGAGTCCCTGGACTTCTTTCGCTCCAGGGTGTTTTGTTTCATGCCAAACATCTTCAGAAACCCCATGCTTAAAGAGAGGCGAGACGTGTCCAACATCGTGTGTCTGGTGATCATTTGGCTCACTCTTTTTTACACGTACTTCCAGATAATCTGCGCAGCGAAGTTAGTGGCGGCGGATAATAAAAAGGCGAGAAACACAGTGTTGCTGCACGGATTCCAGCTGCTGCTCTGCATGCTGACATATGTTTTCTTCTTATCCATCGAGGGTCTCACGTTTCTTTTCCCCAGAGGAGTGCTGACCATTCGCTTCATCATTTCAATACTCATCCACGTTCTGCCTCGACTCATCAGTCCGCTGGTTTACGGGCTGAGAGACAAGATGTTCAGGAAGTACCTGAGGAAATACTTACCCAGCTAGAAATGTTTGGTTTTAAAAACATTCTGAGAATGTTACCATTCACTGTTCTAGGAATGTTTTCAGCGGGAAGTTTTCTTTTGGTTCCCAGAATGTTCTTCTTAACGGTAGGATAACGTTCTCTAAAAACATTCTTAAAATGTTTGGTGATAAACTTAAGATGTTTTTGATAACATTGTTAGAACATTATGCCCTACTATTCTTAAAACGTTTTCAGCTGCAAGTTAGATTTGTTTATGTTGCCAGAATGTTATTATTTTAGAGTAGGATAACGTGCTTTATCGTTCCGATTTATCAGAAGTCTTTTCTTTTTCTTTTAAATGCGACCAGCAGCTAGTACAAGTCACTGTCGGTGTCATATGTACTGGAGGGGACCCAGAATCAGACTTGGAATCAGCTGGTGAAAGTAACATTTGTTTATTAGAAAAGGGGAGCTGGGAGTGGAGGTTGGTTATGGCGGCAGTGGGAAACAGTTGTTCCAGGGTGGAGAGGCCTGGCTGGTCTTGGGAGTGTGGAAGGCCTTGGATTCCTCCTGGGAGAGACATCAACATTTTTGTGAGGCAAAAGCAGGCAAAGTTTTCAAAGAATATGCTGGTAAAAAGCTAGAGCGATATGCAACACACCGTTCACGGCAACAATCCGGCAGGGAATGAGTGCAGGCTGCAGGCTCTCATAGTGTGACTGATGAGCAGGTTGCAGGTGTGGTTGATTGGAGATTGCTCCCAGCCGTGTAGAGCAGACCAGCAGGCAGGTGGGGGAGAGAGAGAGACACACAGTAGAAACAAACACATACAAACACTAACAGGGGTTTCAGGGACGGGCAGTGACAGTCGGTCCGTTCTTCTATATGTCTGTCGGTCTCAAATCTAAAGGGTGCAATAACGATTTTGATCCAATATGCATAAACAGCGGACACTGTTTATACGCAGCCCTCACAAACCACACACGGCTAGATAGCTTATCTAACAGTTAGAACCTACATACGAGACACAACCTATATAGTCAGAAAAAAGTGTGATAATTTTCTGATATTTTACACATATGATATTATGAATACTGTGGGCCTACATACCTTAGTGTGATTATAAGTGCTTGTGAGTGAATATTGGCATGCAAATTCGTTTTTATACGTCCTATTCATTGTCTCAATGCGCTCATACATCTTAAGAAAGTTCTCACCAAAAATGTTAATAATGTTTTTAGAGAACGTTATCTTACCTTTCAGAAGAACATTCTGGGAACCAAAATAAAACGTCCCGCTGAAAACGTTTTAAGAACAGTAGGACATAATGTTCTAACAATGTTATCAAAAACATCTTAAGAAGGTTATCAAAAACATTTTAACCTGTTAAGCACCAAGCCTGTTTTTCATGTTTCAGGCTCGAAAATGACATGCCCAAAACAAATGAATACAACTTAACTTCTAAAAGGGTTATATGAATAATTTCTTTTATCAAAGCAAGGTTACATCGGTGAGTTGGATGTAAAAGTGTCAGAATCAATATAAATGTTTTTTATTTTAAAGAAAATTCAGATTTTACATAGTAAAAAACTGTAAATTATAGTGTCCGTCCAAAGATTATTTTTTACAGATAGTGAAAACTACCCTTGGATGATGGGTTAGTAGACTAAAAGCTTTAGGAATCCAAAGTACAACATATAATAAGTACCCTGTATCAAGATTGATGCAAAACACGTGACATTTGACCTTTTTAGAGAGGTTTAGCCAAAACCACCCCACCTCTGAGGTGATTTGGGTGAAAATGTTTTTTTTTCCATATCTCTGGCCCCCCTTGCTCGATTTGGATAGTTGACACCTGTTTCTGACCGTTAGAGCCAATAGAATCGAAGGGGGAGGCCCCCACACACACACGTTGTGAAGAGAAAAGGTGGGGGCTGCGCGCATGTAAATGTGCAGCAGAGTGGACCGATCTCTAGCTCTGGAATTTGGAAACGAAAAAGCAGTTTTATTGCTTATGGATTATCAGAAATCATTTCAAAGAGGGCACAGATACATTGGATTAACCTATGGATTAACTGCAGCATCGTTTTTTTATCGTTTTAATGCCATTGAAGACCAGTTTTGACCAAGGTAAGCCATGTTAGCGTTTCTAGCTACCTAGCTCCACATGTTATGATGTACGCTTTCGTTTATAGCGTCGCAAATGTTTATCACTGAGTGTTGAGGTGGGCACCCCTAGATTCTGTGTCTCCAGGAGACCAAAAACGAGTGGTTGGCTGTGCATCTAGGATAAGTAATAAGGGAGTTATTGTGAGTTTAAGTGCCGTTTTAGGTTACATTTTTTCGCTCGTGGCTAATTCAGAGGCTGAGTGTTAGCATTGTGGGGTTTTTTTGGAGAAAAAAAATTAAAAAGATCAGTTAGCTGAGTTTCTTCCCGTTACATGGATATAAAACATTCATAGTTTATTAAATATTAAGATTCCTTAGACGTTGTATCCTGCAAATGACGCGTTTATCCGCCCGGTACCGGGGGGGCCGTGCGTAACAGGTTAAGACGTTTATTAAAAACATCTTCTGAAGGTTATCACCAAACATTTTAAGAATGTTTTTAGAGAACGTTATCCTACATTGTCATGGCCTGGCTCTTGGCCATAACAAACAGCGTGGGAAGGACGAAAACATATATGAAAAATATATTTATTAACAGAAGCTTAACGTAAACTAAAAAACTAACACAAAGGGAAAACAAAAGACGAAGCGATGTGGCTGCTCCGAGGTCAGGTCCTCTGCGGGAGAGAGAGATCGAGACTCTGGCTCAGGCCTCTTAATCCTCCGCCAGCCGTCAGGTGTCCTCAATCAGGGCGTCAGGTGTCCCCAATCAGGGCGTCACAAGCAGAGGAGAAACATTAAAGGGCCATGCACACCACAGGAGACAACAAGGCAGGGGTCGTCACACCCCCCCCCTTAAAGTCGGTGTCCCCAGGACCACCGGCACACCAATACCAACCCTGCCAAAAAAAAAAACACCAGTAATGAACAACAAAAACACAAGACATAATGCACCCCACCTCCAACAAAACCACCAATTGCTCCTCCAACACCCAGCCACATCTTCAGCAACTCAGGTAAGCTACCTGAGAAGCACACTTTAAAAGGATGGGCAGAGCGAGAACGATTTATCGAACAGTATGACAGACAATACATTACCGTCACGGCCCATGTTTCCTCAGTTGTAGCAGTTAGTTTCACTGGCTTTACTGCACTGCACCGCAACGTGGCCAATGTCGCCACACCTGTAACATTTCACCCTACTGCACCGTCTCTGGATGTGACCAAGCCCACCGCAGGAATAGCACTTCCGGTCGTTGGCATGCCCACAGTCACGAGCCATGTGTCCTTGGTCTCCACACCGATAGCAGGACATTTCCTTGCCTCTTCCTCGACCCCTGCTGCCGCCGCCACGACCACCATCAACGCTGCCGCCACCACGACCACCATCAACGCCACCGCCGCCACGACCACTTTGACTAGTGGGACAATGCTTGGTCTTCTGGTTTCCAAACATATTTTTGTCCATAGCACGAGTGGTCACACAAGAGGACGTGACGTCTGCCAACACTGTAGAGCTCTCCTCAGACCATGACTCAATCGGACCGCCAGTGACTAAAAACGCAGGGGGAACATCAGTCCAGACTCTGCTACCTGCCAAACCGTTGCCCAGGATGAAGTGTATCCCCTCGATTGGCAAAGCTGGACGTACACCAACAGCCACCTCACCCTTAACAAGATCACAGTCAATATACATCCTATGAACAGGAATAGGAAGAACTTTTAATCCCATTCCCCAACTCAGAACGGTGTCACCAGTGTCACTTTCATAAGACAAAGGCAAAACAGAGTCAACAATATAGGAATCAAAAGCCCCTGTGTCTCGCAAGATTTTGATTGGAACTCTGACATTACTACCTACCAATGACACCAAGCCGTCTCGTATAAATGGAGCATAAGATGCCAAAACCTCAGATCCACATAAGTGGGATGTAAGCACATCGGCAACACAGCAGCTTTTCACAGGAGCAGCTAACGCAACAGGCCCAACAAAATATCTTCCTCCCTCAGATTTTGCTCTAAGCACAGGACAATCTGCCTTCCAATGGCCTTTTTCACGACAGTAGTGGCAAATATCATTATTATCCACCTCAGATTTGACCAAACCCAATTTCCTTGGCTCCATCCCAAATGAACCAACATCAACAGCCTTTCTACTTCCTTCAAAAACAGTTAGGGCACCAGAGCGCCCTCCGAACCTGCTCTTACAGATGGAGCCTCTTATTTTGGACCCCAGCATACAGCTTCCTGCCGACTGCCAGCCAGTTGCCAGCCAGTTGCCTGCCAAAGACCAGTATTCAGGAATGTTAGGCCCTCCCACTATTCTCCAATTTCAGGGTTTAACCAGGAGATGGCGCTATATATTAAATAACTAAGACTTAGTTTTTCACAATAGAAAATGCAGATATTATATAAAAAACTAAAGTTAAAATCTTGTTTTTAATGCCCCAAGAGCAATAACATCTTGTCACAAGCTTTTTGGAAGAAAAAGACTGACTCAAGAGACCTGTAGTTGACTAATTACAGGCCTCAATAAAGTTCTGCCATTGGTTGTGAAAAACAACGGTGGACATAGTGGAAAGTGAAATTGACATTGTCGAATTTAATAAAAATACAAAATAATGTATCTGTGTACGTGTTTTACTATGTGATCTGCACTTATCAAACATCTAATTAAGGCGAGACACCCCAGGTGAATAGGGTATTTTTAACTTAAAGATATCAGCTAAATATTTCTCCAGTTAATTACTTACAATAAGGCAATTGTTTTTTGTATTACAAGTTTTCTGAAATAGCATGTTTAAATATCCAAATGAACCATTATCTCATGAGATATGCGCATATTTTAACACATTTCAGGAACCGAAATCTGAACTTTGGATAAAGCCAGGATCAAAATTATTGTTTCATTTTGTAGTCATATTAGTATCTA